CAGTCTAAATTTTGATTGGGACTGAGAGAAATACTTAGAAAAGTTATTTTTACACATTAGTTACAGCAGTAACCACATGTTACTTTAATGTTTTTGCCTATGGTTATATTAATGATGATGATCTTTAAAAATCAAATATGGCAAGGTTCCATATATTTAAATATGTGATTATAGCTTATATGATTCACAAACAGTTTTAAACAGACAGGTATGTATCAGCAAGTGAATGAAACTAAACAGGTGCAGACTTAAAAGCAGAAATTAAATATGAGCTTGGCAAGTGTGTGGCTCCATATAGTAGTTACACAATGCTTTCCTGCTATTACCATTATAGGCATGAAAATTAAATACCAAGTATATTACATCACCTTCTATTGATTTCACTATTTTAAATTGAAAAATGAGGTTTTTTTTTGGTAGACCTTGCTGTTTGTATGTTACTTTAAGAAACTACTCTTATCTGAAGTAATGTTAACCTTGTCCTAAGAAGTAGGGTCATGATAGATAACCAATGGAACATAAGCTCCTGGTGCACTCAAGATACTATGTTGGTGGATGGCATTATAGAACCATAAGGTTAGGCAGTGTGATGCATTGACTAAGAGGGCGAATGCGATCCTTGGATGTATAAGATGGGGAATAGCAAGTAGGAGTAAGGAAGTGGTGTCACCTCTGTTTATAGCATAAGTGAGACATTACTGGAACACTGTGTTCAGTTTTGGTGTCCATGCTTCAAAAACTATGTTAAAATTAGAAAGGTGTCAGAAAAGCTATAGAAGAATTATTCAAGGTCTGGAAAACATGCCTTATAGTGAAAGATTTAAGAAGCTTCATCTGTTAATCTTATTCTGGAGGTTAACTGGTGACTTGATCAGCCTGCAAGTACCTACATGGAGGAAAATATTTGATAGTAGATAGCTCTTTAACAAAAAGGCATAACAAAACCCAATGGTTGGAAGCTCAAGATAGACAAATTTAGACTAGAAATAGAGTGCACTTCTTTTCAGTGAGGGTAATTAACCATTGGAACAACTTACCTTGGTATATGGTGGAGTCTCCATCACTTGAGGCCTTTAAATCAAGGCTGAATGTCTTCAAAAGACATGCTGCAGCTCAACAAGGGATTATGGTCTTGATCTATAAATTACTGGTGAAGTGGTTCAATTTGTGTTATGCAGGCAATGGTCCCTTATGGCCTCAAAAATCTATGAATATTTTGTTTTAGTTCCTAGAACTACATGGCAGCGGCAATATGGCCAGGACGACACTCAAGTCTTGCCAGTATAGCAATGTCAGATAGTGGTGTATAGTGTCAAAAGCCCTAGTGTAGATGGCAGTCTACTGGCAAAAGAGTGTTTTTGCCGGTATAGCTTATTTTTTTCGAGGCCCTGGTATAAGTTGAGTCTGCACTAGGAGAGTTTGCCATCATAGGAATAACAGCAAATCTTTTCTAGTGAAGACCTGACCTACTCCTTGCATTGTATTATATATAATTGATACACAAGACTATACCTGAAATAGTTTTCTAAATGATTTAAAATGGATATTTCAGACTTCTCTCCTACATTTTGATAGCGTACATGTTTTTCTTAAATGTAGTAAGTTTGTATATATAGTAAATATTTCACCATCTAAGATTCAATATTATAGAAATTCAAAGATTTTAGCATTATCTGTCCCTATTGGAATATCTCCATTCATTGATTGGGATTCTTCTTTCCAGGAATTCCATCTCATTAGTACAGCTCTTTACTTTCCAATAAAGACCCAGCTTGCTGCAAAGTAGGATTGCATTAGTTAGTGTTTTCCATTAGAAGACAATAGAAATCAGAAAGTTTTAGGGTTGTGGAAAGCAAATGATAAAATTTAATCTTTACCGCTGCTCTGAAACTTTGCCACTGCTTTCTAATAAAGTCATTTTTTCTGACCCATTTTGTCAATTTGATTATGCAAAGTAGAAGCATTATCTTTGCTTATTTTTATAACTTTTTTTGGTTTGTGATTTAGTACGTACTGTAATTGGATGTTTTTCGCAGGGTAGATACACCCAGTCACGGGTTGTTGGATTATGGGGGAAACAAAATGGGGATTTAACAGCTCAAGTGGCTTACTATCTTGTGTCAGTATAGTGGTGCTGGCTGCCAGGGCAGCGGGATCCAGTGGCCAGAGTCTGTTTATTGTCTCATCTAGTTCAAGGCCATGTGGCCCAATGGCCAGAGTCAGTAGAGATGCCCTTCTACTCAGGGCAGCGTGGCCCAGTGGCCAGAGTCAATAAAGCTGTCCTTTGATAGTAAAGCCCGCCACTTCAGGGGGGTGACTGCACCCGGTGGTGGGTGCAGTTGTGGTAGAGGGATCCAGGCTACCCTTCTCCACCAGGCCCCAAGGAACTAGTAGTTTTGTGATCAGTCTCGGTCTCTTGTTGCTATCCTGATCCCTGGGTCACTTCCTGCCCTGATTTCTAGTAACAGCAATCTCATGCCTCAGCAGTCTTTTCTCCGACAAACTCGGCAGCCAGCTGGGTATCCACCTGGCAGCTTCCTGGTAGGAGCCTGCAACACACACCTGGTCTCCTCTGTGGTCAGCCCAGACTAACCTTAGCTATTCCCTTTTATACTCTGGTTCCAGTCTGAGCATGCCCAGCAGGGGCAAGAGGGCATGGCTTCTTCATGCCACAGAGTGTGATTAACCTCTGTGGAACCAGTGCAGGGTAGGTACGCCCCGTTCCAGATATGGTGATTGTACTCATTACAATTTTTAAGTCTTTTGTTAATTGAACATATTTTAAAAATTAGGCAGGAAACTTAATGGAGGAAGTTATATGTATTAGGGTTGTCAAGTGATTAAAAAGATTAATCGTGTGCTTAATCATGCTGTTAATAATAGAATTCTATTTATATACATATTTTTTGGTTTTCCACATTTTCAAATATATTGATTTCAATTACAACACAGAATAGAGTGTACAGTGCTCACTTTATATTTACTTTTTATTATAAATATTTCCACTGTAAAGATAAAATAGTATTTTTCAATTTGCTTAACACAAGTACTGTAGTGCAATCTCTTTATCATGAAAGTAGAACTTATAAATGTAGAATTGTGTACAAAAGATAACTGCATTCAAAAAATAAAACAATGTAAAACTTTAAAGCCTACAAGTCCACTTAGTCCTACCTCTTGTTCAGCCAATTGCTCAGACAAACAAGTTTGTTTTCATTTGCAGGAGATAACTCTGCCCTCTTCTTGTTTACAATGTCACCTGAAAGTGAGAACAGGCATTTCGGCGGCGACACCTATTGACATTGCGACTTGTCGGCGGCGTTTCGGCGGATGCTCGTCTGCCACCACGGTCCTCCGTGGCTCGTCGTCTGGCGCCTGCCAGACGAAAAAGGTTGGGGACCACTGCCCTAGAGTGATCTCTTTTGTTCCCCTCCCTCACAGGCATTTATGTTAAGGACCAGAATTAAAGTAAAATATTTAAGCTATTTTTTCAGTCTGTCTACAGACTCAGGAAGGTAGCAGTGTAGTAAGTGTATCAGTTTGTGCATGGGAAGTGATCTCAAAACAAAAGGGCTAAAAACTTCTTAAAAACAAAACCTTAAATTTTTCAGAAAACATTGGAATCAACACAGGGACCCTTTTCAGATTGGTTGTTTAATGATTGGAAGTATAGGCCAACAAAGAAAAACTGGAAATAAACAGGTAAAACGTTTCCCTTGTGCCAGTAGCTTAGTTCCTTCTGGCCTTAAAGTCTGGTAGTCTGATCTAGTCTGACCACCTACATAACACAGGTTATAGAATTTCAGCCAGTAGTTCCTGCATGAGGCTCATAACTTATGGTTGATCTTTCAGAAGGACATCCAATCTTTAAAATAAAGATTTCAAGTGATGGAAAATCCACCATCTCTGTTGGTAAATTGTTCCAAAGGGAAATTGTCCTCACTTCTTAAGAGTGGCAGGGGAGAACTGAATGTTGTGTTTCTAGTCAGAATTTGTCTAGCTTCAGCTCCCAGGCATTGGATAATGTTATGCTTTTCTCTACTAGATTGAAGAGCCCTGTACTATCCAAAATATTCTCCTCATCTAGGTACTTCTATACTGCAATCAAGTAATCTTTTAACCTTTCCTTTGTCCCATTTTCCCCCTTGTTTCCTGCTAGTAAATGGTGCTAGAATACCATGGTAAGTATATTAGAATTGTTAAATATGCCTTACATTATTAATAAACTTAGTTTCCTAAATCTATGTAGCAGGCCTTAGAGTGGCTGCTGGACAAATGGAGTAGGAAAATGTCTGACTATAATTCTGAAAAAAACATGCCATCAGGGGCTCGTTCACCTGCACATCTACCAATGTGATATATGCCATCATGTGCCAGCAATGCCCCTCTGCCATGTACATTGGCCAAACTGGACAGTCTCTACGCAAAAGAATAAATGGACACACATCTGACATCAGGAATCATAACATTCAAAAACCAGTAGAACACTTTAACCTGTCTGGTCACTCAATAACAGACCGGAGGGTGGCAATTTTGCAACAGAAAAGCTTCAAAAACAGTCTCCAAGGAGAAACTGCTGAACTTGAATTGATATGCAAACTAGATACAATCAACTTAGGCTTGAATAGAGACTGGGAATGGCAGAGCCATTACAAACATTGAATCTTTCTCGCACTTCTTATCAAACTGTCTGTACTATCTTGATCATCACTTCAAAAGTTTTTTCTCTTACTTAATTGGCCTCTCAGAGTTGGTAAGACAACTCCCACCTTTTCATGCTCTCTGTGTGTGTGTGTGTGTGTGTGTCCTCAACATATGTTCCATTCTGTGCATCGGAAGAAGTGGGCTGTAGCCCACGAAAGCTTATGCTCAAATAAATTTGTTAGTCTCTAAGGTGCCACAAGTACTCCTGTTCTTTTCGCGGATACAGACTAACATGGCTGCTACTCTGAAACCTATAATTCTGAAGTGATCTTAACCTCCAGCTAAGCAGGGGTTGGAGTCACTTTTAAAAGAGAGAGGAAAAACAATGAACTGCATTTTCTTTGAGTGATATTATATTTGATTTCAGATGTTGCTTGCCCTGCTATCTTGATGTAGAGAAGTGCTGCCACCTGTGAAGATGATTGTGTGTAGCAGTTGTGACAAAGTTCCTCCTTTATCTTGGTGGGTCCTGCGCTTATTGGCGGATTTTCTTGCCTCAGAGATTCACCATGTGGGTTGGGGAACAGCCCAGAGACCTTCCCCTCTGGAAGAACCCACAGTCCAGGTCAATTGGGAGGTTTGGGGGGAACCCGGGCCCGCCCTCTACTCCGGGTTCCAGCCCAGGGCCCTGTGGACTGCAGCTGTCTATAGTGCCTCCTGTAACAGCTGCATGACAGCTACAACTCCCTGGGCTACTTCCCCATGGCCTCCTCCAAACACCTTCCTTATTCTCACCACAGGACCTTCCTCCTGGTGTCTGATAACGCTTGTGCTCCTCAGTCCTCCAGCAGCACATCCTCTCAGCTCCTTGCGCCTCTTGCTCCCAGCTCCTCACACTCGCACCACAAACTGAAGTGAGCTCCTTTTTAAAACCCAGGTGCCCTGATTAGCCTGCCTTAATTGATTCTAGCAGCTTCTTTTTAATTGGCTCCAGGTGTCCCAATTAGCCAGCCTGCCTAAACTGGTTCTAGCAGGTTCCTGATTACTCTAGTGCAGCCCCTGCTCTGGTCACTCAGGGAACAGAAAACTACTCATCCAGTGACCAGTATATTTGCCGTCTACCAGACTCCTGTACCCCACTGGTCTGGGTCTGTCACACAGTGTAACAGTGTTGGGACTTACCACCGCAGCGCCTCCTACTGGTTGCCTCTGGGAATTAGCTCAGTCCAGTGGAGCGCACTCTCTCGGGGGTGTCCCGCCCGTTGTTTCTCGCCCTTGGTTGGCTTCTGAGCCCACGTCGCTCTCCAACTCGCGGCGTCCTCTTCCGGACCACTGCCCTCCGGCAGTGCCCCTCAGTCCATCCACACCTCCTTCCAGGGATTGGGTCTACATTCCAGCCACCATGTCCAACCACACCCTCTGAGTCTAATCCCTTCTTGTCAGGGAACTGGTGGGTCTATGATGGCCGCTCCCTACGGCCAATGGCTGGGTGTACTGCAAGGGGGAAAGGGGGAGGACCCAGGCCCGCCCACTACTCTGGGTCCCAACCCAGGGACCTCTAGTGGCAACCGTCCTGCCCTCCTTCTCTCCCTTCGTCTGTCTGTCCACATCCCTGGGCTGTTTCCCGTTCAGCCCCTCGCACCGGCTAGGCCCTTCCCCTCAGGGCCTGCAGCCTGGCAGACACCTGGCTGGAGTTCCTTTCGGCTTCCCCAGGCCTGCCCAGCACTGCGCTGTCCCAGGTACTAGTCTCCCAGCTCTGGAGACAAACCTTCCCCTCTCGAAGGCCTGGGACAGACTGACTGCTCCCTTCCTGGGCAGCCTTCTTATAGGGCTGAGCCTGGCCCTGATTGGCTGCCTCCAATCTGGGCCCTTATTGGCTCTCAATAAGCTCTTCTCCCATTGGCTCCCTGTCTGCGCAGGCCCACTGGCCTGCCGCAGCCCATACTCTCAGGGAGTGGGGTAGTCTGCCCCACTACAAGCAGGGTTAAGTGGGGGATGGCACCTAGACACAGCAGAGAAATCTTGTGTTGCTTCTAGCAGGTTTCACTTTGCTGTCTACTTCTGGTGGATGTTAAGTTTTTTTAGGAGAGTTCATTAGCTGTTGTGTAATTTAAATTAGATTCCATATCTTTCATATCTCTCATCACAGCACATAACTTAAGATATAAACAGAAGGAAAATCCAGTGGTAAATTAAAGTATCTTGATTGATGTGTCTTCTATGTGAAGCCAATAAGTAGTACTGACCTTGGGATTCTGGTTTCTCCTGCTAGAGAAACCAGGTGCAATGGATGTGTAATGTATTTGGACTTCATAAGGAAAAGAGAAGAAATAACTAAAGCAATTTGAATGCTGTGGTCATCTGATCAATGACAGTATTGGAATTGGAAAGTGGTGTGTGCTGTGGAAGCTGTTGAAGGGAGGGGATCACTGGTTAACTAAGTGTTTCTCCTTTTGTGGTTTTATTTTTTTTTCTCAGTAATATCTCTGTAGCGAAAAATTGCAGAAATGCCTTTCTGTTTAGTTTTTGTACTTTGAAACTTTTTTTTTCTATGGAGCCTCTTCGAACAACACTTCCAGACACATGTTAAAAAGTTGAGAATGTTGGGGGGGAGTTTTTTGACTTTCTAGATAGTGTTGCTCCTTTGCACTATTGTTGCTACTCAAGATGTACAAATGGGATTAGAAGAGAACAATTAATATCCCAATAAAATCTGAAATGTCTAGACAAAATATGAAAAACAGATATGCTGAAATAAAGGGAAGCAAGAAAATAATAATTTCAAATGCATATGTATAACCTGCAAATAGTAATAGGGGACAGGCTGAAAACCACAAAAGGAAGGAAGTTCAAAGATTGTTGAAAGTCGATCCTTAACACTTTTTTTTTTTTTTTTGCGTTGAGTATTGCGGCACACATGGTATGTGAGTTTAGCAGTGGCTGAACACCTCTGATGCCCAGGATAAGAAGTGCAGATTAAGAATGGAAGTGTCACCTTCATTTGGAATTTCCTTGCTTTTGCGATTCTAATTCCAGACCTTAATATTTTCAGTATAAATTTTGTAAGTTATTTCTGAGGAGCTGAAATATTGGGAAAGTGGAAACGGGGGAAGAGAAGTGTCAAGTATATGCTGCTAGTCTCCTTTGTATCAGATATGTTGTCTATGGACCCATTAAGAAATAGCTAGTGCAGTAACCTATATGTATAGTAGACACCTGGATTCTCTTGATAGTGAAAAGGTCATGCATTTAGAGATTAATAACAAGAATTTTTGTTATAAACTGAGGACGCATCAGTTGGAAGTAACAGAGGAGGAGAAGGACCTCGGAGTATTGGTTGATCACAGGAAGACTATGAGCCGCCAATGTGATATGGCCGTGAAAAAAGCTAATGCGGTCTTGGGATGCATCAGGCGAAGTATTTCCAGTAGCGATAAGGAGGTGTTAGTACCGTTATACAAGACACTGGTGAGACCTCATCTGGAATATTGTGTGCAGTTCTGGTCTCCCATGTTTAAGAAGGATGAATTCAAACTGGAACAGGTACAGAGAAGGGCTACTAGGATGATCCGAGGAATGGAAAACCTGTCTTATGAAAGGAGACCGAAAGAGCTTGACTTGTTTAGCCTAACCAAAAGAAGGCTGAGGGGAGATATGATTGCTCTCTATAAATATATCAGAGGGATTAATTCTTCTCCCTCCCTGATATTTTTTAAGCTCAGTACCAGTGTGGACACAAGAACAAATGGATATAAACTGGCTATCAGGAAGTTTAGACTTGAAATTAGACCAAGGTTTCTAACCATCAGAGGAGAGAAGTTCTGGAACAGCCTTCCAAGGGGAGCAGTGGGGGCAAAAGACATATCTGGCTTCAAGACTGAGCTTGATAAATTTATGGAGGGGATGGTATGATGGGATAGCCTAATTTTGGCAATTAATTGGTCTTGGAGTATTAGCAGTAAATATGCCCAATGGCCTGTGATGGGATGTTAGATGGGGTCGGATTTGAGTTATTACAGAGAATTCTTTCCTGGGTGTCTGGCTGGTGAGTCTTGCCCACATGCTCAGGGTTTAGCTGATCGCCATATTTGGGGTCGGGAAGGAATTTTCCTCGAGGGCAGATTGGCAGAGGCCCTGGGGGTTTTCGCCTGCCTCTGCAGCATGGGGCATGGGTCACTTGCTGGAGGATTCTCTCCACCTTGAAGTCTTTAAACCACAAGTTGAGGACTTCAATAGCTCAGACACAGGTCAGAGGGTTGTTACAGGAGTGGGTGGGCGAGATTCTGTGGCCTGCGTTGTGCAGGAGGTCAGACTAGAAGAACATAATGGTCCCTTCTGACTTTAAAGTCTGTGAGTCTATAAAACCGTATACCACCCTTCTAGGTGATTTTTTTTAGGGATTAATTTTCTGTCACCACTGGAAATAATGCTACAAGACTTACCTCACCAGCACACTGCAATAACATAACCTTCTATTCTATTAAATGTGTTTAGACACATTCTCACTATGAATCTCTTTGGCTGTATATTAGTGCATATTCTTGTTCATGGTCACCCTTTAGCATCTGGTTACATTGTGCAAACCTATTTCTCGTGCCATACTGATCGAGCAATATTTGCTCAGTTAAAACTCCCATTGAAAACAATAGAAGTTTTGCCTGAATAAGATCTACAGGAGTTGGGTCAACTAATTCAAAGTGGATTATTGCCATTTCTTTTTTTATTTTTTATTTTCAGTATGTTGCAAACTGCAGTATGGAAGTGACAGATCCCTTTTATCCATGAACATTTTGCTCACTGTTTGCCACCGTGGTGGCTGGCTCCAATAGAAATTGAAGACCTCATGCTGCTCCCACAAAGTTGGTGACAGAACTCCCCCTGATGTCAGTGGGAGCAAGGTGGGGCCTTGATGAAATTCTAGGATTTTAGATCTAGCTCTGAATTAATTGATACTTTTCTATTAACTTTCACTGATAAGAGAAAAAGTTTAGTTTATCCCTTCTGTGAAATTGCATCCTTATTTTGTACTATACTAGTACATTTTACACTAGTATCTATGTATGGAGAAGCCATTTCTGAATCTTTGTCCCAGTAGGTAACACTAGTACAAAAGAAAAGGTTCTATATGTTTTCTGTATATATTGTTTAACCATGGTGTTGGTTTTTAAATAAAAATTCTACTTTCTTTAAAAAAAAAACAACACAACAACAACAAAAAAAACAATGCATATCTGCGTATTGGTGATGGATACTAAAAATTCTTCTGTATAGTAAGTTCTGATCACAAGAAGTAAACAATTTGTAAGCTTGTGGTTTTCTTTAACAAACTCTAGAAGACTGTGTTGCAGTTTATGAAATAAGTGTTTCAGAAAAATTACTTTTAGATGGCTGAATCATGGGTGGGCATAGTGGCAAGCAGCAGCAGCACACAGTGCTGCAACAATATCTGCTGGGAGTCTGAATGGTCTCCTGTTCTATGGTCCAGCACGCACTTGAGAGGTTATGACTCCTGCTGGCACCTTAATATTAATCAGGTTCCTTAATCTTGTTCTGCCATTCCTGCCAGATACTGATGTTATAACAGAGATGCCGTTTGGGTAGGGCAGGGTGGGCAGTGTCATCCCCCCCACCCATGCTTCATACCCTGTGTGAGCAGCTCAGGCTCCAGGCCCAGACTCTGTCTGTACTCCCTGAAATTCTCCATGGCAAGAGCCCTGCGGGCAACCTGGAGTCTCCATTTCCTAACCTACCTGGCATAGCCCCAGGGACCTGCCTGTCTGACTGCAGCTCTGTTCTAACCTCATCCATTGCCACACTCCTTTGCCACTGATTGGCACCAGTGCTCAGGGATGGCAGTTGTGATTGGCAAAGGGGCTGGAAGTGTTGATTGCTAGAGAAGTGATGAAGCAGGAGATTTGTCATGGCTCTTCTGTCTCATGTGAGGAGCAGAAAACGCACAGCTCATTGGATGTAGGTGGGACTCCAATGTCAGGTGTCTGATGGTATATAGGTGGGACTTGCTGTCATGGGATACTGTGGTTGTGAGGAGCCCAATCTCCTCCATAAGCAAAGTGAACACCCTCTCTTCCCCCCCCCCCCCCCCCCCCCCCGGCTTACAGAGCATGACTGGTACCAGCTCCTCCTGTGCCAAATTGCCCTGTCTCCACCTCTAGCCCAGCCTGTGGATTGGGGGGCTGCCAACTTGTGCTTCAGAATCTGTTTTTCCTAGGATGAATAGAGTGAGGTATCTCCCCTTGAAGCTGTGATTGCGACTGACTGATTATGGATTTTGACATTTATCCTTCAAAAATTTGGAGAGCTTCCAGGGCCATTAGAAGTTGCCCTTTCCACCCCAATTTAAATGTGAAATTGCATACCTGTGTTATAAAGCTACTTTTAGATTGGATGTGGACACTCATGAAGAACCATTGATGTGTCCTCTTATATGAGAGCCACTGAATTGTAGATAGTGGAGACAATTATTCAGTGGACAAAGATGTAAATAGGAGACAAACTGCTTGTAAAAAATATTCCTGGCCTTAAGATGTACCTTAGACCTTTTATTTTAACTTGAATTAATTTGTCATTACACACAGCATACACTTTAACCATGTGTTTGCACTTATCTTTGAAATGTAAAATGTGTATAAATCTGGAGTTATATATCTTTTTGTTTTCTTTCACAGATTACGTTCTACATCAGTAGAAATGGACAGCAGCAGTTTCATTCAGTTTGATGTGCCTGAGTACAGCAACACTGTTCTGAGCCAATTAAATGAGCTTCGTCTGCAAGGGAAGCTATGTGACATAATTGTGCATATTCAGGGTCAGCCATTTAGAGCCCATAAAGCTGTTCTAGCTGCCAGTTCTCCATATTTCCGTGATCATTCAGCATTAAGCACCATGAGTGGCTTATCAATATCCGTTATTAAAAACCCTAATGTCTTTGAACAGTTACTTTCATTTTGTTACACTGGAAGGATGTCCTTGCAGCTGAAGGATGTTGTTAGTTTTCTAACTGCAGCTAGCTTTCTACAGATGCAGTGCGTCATTGACAAGTGCACACAGATATTGGAGAGTATCCATTCAAAGATCAGTGTTGATGATGTTGACTCTGTCACCGTTGGTGCTGAAGAGACTCAAGAAAGCCACAATGGAGTAAAAGATAGCAGCTACTTTGCCAATCCTGTCGAAATATCTCCTCCTTATTGCTCTCAGGTGCCACAACCAACAGCGGGTAGTGATCTAAGGATGGAAACTACTACAGGGAAAACTTTACGCAGTCGTCTGCACGAAGAAGGGCACTCAGATCGAGGAAGCAGTGGAAGTGTCTCTGAATATGAAATCCAGATTGAAGGTGATCCTGAGCAAGGGGACCTGATAGTAAGGGAGAGCCAGATTGCAGAGGTGAAGGTTAAAATGGAAAAATCTGACCGGCCAAGTTGTTCTGATAGCTCCTCACTTGGTGATGATGGATACCATACTGAAATGGTTGATGGAGAGCAAGTGGTTGCAGTAAATGTAGGCTCCTATGGATCTGTATTACAACATGTTTATTCATTTTCCCATGCCTCATCCCAGGCTACTAGCATGTCTGAAACCTTTGGAAGCCTGAGCAATTCAAGTCCTTCAAGGTCCATGCTTAGTTGTTTCAGAGGAGGTCGTGCACGCCAAAAACGGGTATCCGCTGGTCACTTACATAGTGATGTTCAGGGCTTAATGCAAGGGGCTGATGGTGAAACCATAGTGAGTAACCCAGGATATGAAAGCAGTCCACGGGAAAGAAATGCAAGAGGTCATTGGTATCCATACAATGAGAGGTTAATTTGTATTTACTGTGGAAAGTCTTTCAACCAGAAAGGGAGCCTTGATCGACACATGCGATTACACATGGGAATTACCCCTTTTGTGTGCAAGTTTTGTGGGAAGAAATACACACGCAAGGACCAACTTGAGTATCATATTCGTGGCCACACGGATGATAAACCCTTCCGCTGTGAGATCTGTGGGAAATGTTTTCCTTTCCAAGGGACGCTAAATCAGCATTTAAGAAAAAATCACCCTGGGGTAGCAGAAGTAAGAAACAGGATAGAATCTCCAGAAAGAACAGAAGCATTTCTTGAACAGAAAATAGATAATGACACTTCAGCCTCTGAAGCTGTGGATTCTAGTATGGAAATTCACACAATGTCTAACACACCTGATTAAAATACTAAGTTCTAAGTTCCACCCTAACAAAGCACATTAATCAATGCATTTTTAAAATTTTTGCTTCTTTAATAGTCTTCAGTACAGGTATATCAGTCTTTTAATTTTCTTGACCTTTTGGAAATCTGGTCAAAACGGTTTCTGAAGGAAGCTATATGATTGTCCATTGTTTCAAAGGAAGCTGGGTATTTTTCACTCTTGAAGATGCTTTAAAGTATAAAGGATATAGTATTCTGGGTGTCCAGAGGCCGAAGTAGGCTAAAATTGTTCTTTACTGGCTGATCTGGCAAGACACAAATTCCATCAGGGAAGGATATTAAAATAAGACTAGAAGCCCTGATGGATACACTAAGAGGGTATATTCTCCGTCATTGTGCTTCCTAACTTCCATTCCCAATAATGGGGGTTATGCAGCACTATGGGGAAAGACTGTTTTCTCATGAGTCCCCTCCAGGTGTCAATGAAACGTCTTTAGTTTTTGAAATAGCTATTTTTTGGTAGCTTGCAATTTTATATATAACTATATAACAAACTTATCTAAATAACAAACACTTTCACTTTTCCTATTCTGGTTGGGATGAATGTAAGAGTATGTCAAAGTTAATATAATGTACAAGGCTTTCTACTCTTAAGTCTCATCTCTACCTAGGACTTTGCTGGGATATTTTTTTCTTTTTTTAGAAGAAAGTTACTTGGTTTTCATTTTATTAAAATATTACTTTGTGTCCAAAAGTGAGCAAAGTGAATAACCTTGTTTAAGTATCCTTGCTTTATAGCAGATATGTAAACCAAATGCCATAAATCTATTAAATTATGGTTGAATTGTTTGGGTTTTTGTTAGTTGTCTAGAGTACAAGCTGGACAACCTGTGGTGCTGACCTTTTTTATAGAGCTTGTATTGTTATACTAGCAAACCCAAGAGTAGCATTGTGGTTTTAAATGTGTTTTTACTCGCTTCAGAATCTACCTTCATTTCGTACTGTAGAAACATACCAGGTAACTAAATCTAACTTAATTGTTCTAAATGGTTGGCTAATACTAGCCGGAAAGGGATGTTGTAGTTTAAACTACAGTACTTCCAAGCAGTATTTTATCTTTTCCCAGAGAGCTGTTTCAGGTGCATAGTAACTTCCTACTTACTGTTCCAAGTGACCTCTCAGTACTTGGAATTTGTAACTTTTTTTTGTTGTAAAAATACTATATGGGAATTGCAAGCAATATGTCTGTTATTATATATGTGAGTATTACAGAGTCACTATGGCTTCCCCATTATTTCAATGGTTAATGTTTTCTTCATAAAGAGACCACCAATAACAAAAACTTTAAAAATACTCTAAATTGTTTTGTATTACCAAATGTGGTTTTGTTTTTTGGTTCTTATGTGGTGCTATCTTTACCTTTTATCAACTTAGGTCAGTATAGTATAGTAAATGTGAAACCTAATGGTAACAGTGAAACAAAAGCAAAATCTGTTCAATGAGATGATAGCTTTGAAAGAGACCTCAAAAGCATGGCTGGCAAACATTACTGTATGAAATTCTACTTGATCGGCAGAATTAAGGAAGTACAGTTCTGTTAATCATGTTTTTAAAAATACAAAAGAATGAAGCTTTATGTAGATTTGGGCCTATATTTTTTATTGAGATTCATTTCACAATGATTGCTAATGTTCTTGTGATTATGCTATTAAACTTTTAAAATAAATGCTCATTTTTAGGTTACAGGAAAGCAAAAAAGGTAAGTTTGCTGGCTTGTAATGCTTTTTGGGTTCCTATAACTCAAATAACTTTGTGTGGGATTTTTAAATACTTTTCAGACCCTTAGTCCACGAGTCTGAGGTATATTTGTGCAGTAACTTTTAAAATACACTATCTCTTAATATTGTGTCAGTACGCAATAAGGATTAATGTTACTAAATACAGACGTACACTATAAACCCCAGCTGCTCCGTAGGAGCAGTTTTATTTAAATTGGGTACATAATCTGCCTTTTCCTCCTAAAACTGCCTAAATAAGGGATTTGTTCCTCCCTGAAGCAACAGAAGAACTCCTGTTTCCATTAATGGAAACAGTTGTGTGCATCAAGGAGAGGCTAGATCGCTACATGTTTACCATTTAAACACGTGTTGGTGTTTCAGTTAAATGTTTTTTTTTACATAAATGTTTTTTTAAGTAAATGCAAACAATTGTGTTTTGGTAAAATTAAGTTTGAGACACACAGAAAAGCCAAGAAATGTAGAGTTAAGCTTGACCCTTTATCTTAAACTTGTATTGTGGTGCCTTTGGGTTGGCTTATTTCCATAGTAGTGTGAGTTGAGGGGAGTAGGGAAAGGGCTGTTAACTTTGTATTTCTTGACCTTTGTCAGTGTGTCACAGTCTTAGCATTATTTAAATATAGTTCTTTGTATCTGTACATTTATTAAACTGGTTTGATTTTACCAAAGAGTGACTTATCCAAAATTGTCTCTGACAAAAATATACATCACTTTGATTGTACAGGTTCAGGTTCAAAACATTGTAATGGGACTGTTAAGGGGCAGGAAATCATCACTTTTTCTACAATATCATGATTCAACAGTTTGCAAGTTTCACTTGCTCCTATTCATTTTGGCATAACATTTACCCTTTCCACTGCTAGCAGTGTTAAGAATTATCAAGCCATAACACAGTACTGTAAGGTTCAGCAGTGCTTCAAAGGATGCATACATGTAGGCAAGCATAGAGCATCTTTGAATATTACATTTAAATTTATAAAGTGTGTGAATCTGGTAGAAAATGAACTTCAGATCTGGCAGCAGCAATTAAATTGTGCCTTGTCACATGATGGTTTGCCAGGATTAACATTACCATGAAACATAAAACATTATCCACTTGAAGTTCATTTCACAAGTTCACCAAGACAAAGTATCTTGTGTAGTTATTTTAAGCAGACTTTGAAAGTACTGTACAGTACCTATTTCTGTACAGTTTTAAGTGAGTGCAGAACTTACACATTTCATTTACAATAAATGCAGAAGTCAAAAAAATAAGTGATGTGAAGAAATATTTGGCAGTAAAATACATCATGAAACCATATAAGGCTGGTTCATAATTGAGTCTCTTCTTGATCTACCTTTTGAATTACATAGACAAATGTGAAAACAGTGACAGTGTCCTTTCCTCTAGATGTTTAACCTATTATTACAAACTGTGAAAACAAAGAATTTTATACTTTTGCTAATGATTGTGGTTTGTTTCAAACAGTTATTTTAGTTTTCCTAATCAGTTATCTTCCATATAATTTCTATTAAAGTTGTAAATACATTTAGAAAATAGGTTTGTAAATACCTTAGTGTCTCAGTTCAGCTGTAGTCAACAGAGCCTCGTGAATGGTTCTGCATTTTATTGTGACATTTAATAGCATAAAGGATACTGTCTGTTCACTGTTCAGCAGAATATACTGTAGGCCTAAATTTATAGTTTTTTAATATTATAATCTTCCCAAGCATGAGGAATTGTTTTATGCTGAAGCCTTCAGTTTATTTCTAGCCAAAACAGTAAGGCCTGTTATAACTTTTCTTTAGGTTGAAGTATGGGAAGAATAGCAGGAATACAACCAGGGGCTGGGAAAAGATTGAGCTTGAATGAGCTTTACCATTTTTAAAGTATCTTATTTGAATCTTTTACTTTAGTTTACTGTGATTGTTTTTATTGTCAATTTCTGAAAGGGTTTCACATGAAACCACTGAAAGGGACTCAAATATGCAACACCTAATCTATTTTCCAAGGGAAATTTACCCTTGAATGGTGCTTTTAGACTGGTCAGGGTTATTTATTAAATTTTATATTTGAAAGTATTTGGGAATTGTGTAAATTCTTTATATGAATCTGTTCATGAATTGTAATTTTCAAATACTCAGTGACTGAACCAGAAGTTCAGTAAAGTCATTCAAAATGTTCAAAGTGTATAACCATTGTGCATTTCTTACATATCTTTTAACAAGTGCCAGAATAATTATATTTAATATAATTATAAGCCCAATGTATTATTCACCCATCCCTATAATGAATATTGACTTAATTATGCAAGTTTATATACAAATTTTAAACAGAGTAAGCCTGAGGCATTTCTGTTCCTGTTTTTATTCAGAGGATGTGAAGTATCGATAACTGAGCAGGCTTGCTTATAGCTTGTATAGGCAGCTACTGCTACAGCAGATACAATAAATTGCTGTCTCCCCAATTTACGTATACTATGAATTCAACCTTTGGACTTTGTATTGCAAGACTTCGGTTGGATATCTGATTAGAAGTAGAACTCACTACTTCCTTGCACAATGTTAATAGTGTTTATTTCCCTTAACAGAAAATGGTATTTTTAAATAACTTTTATTATTTGTAGAGTTGTTTTATGATAAATATTTGAACAGTTTGAATGACTTAACTCAGTGTCATTATCTTGCAATATAAACTGGTAACCTCACAACTCCACACTTCATCACCATATGAAGTAAATGAAGCTAGCTAAGCTGATGCTGTAACAACTAATAACTTGCCATTAAGGATTATTTTATAGCATGGATTTTAAAATATTTATTCAAATGATATTTTACACTTGTATTCATTTTGTTTTAGATTTGTGACATGAATATTTCAGTGCTGCTTTATTTTGTTCTGATGAATTTTTGTTTCTTGCTTGTACATTGCTTTTTTTATGGTATAAATAATAAGTCAATGGGAATTGCTGTTTGTAAATTAAAATGCTTCTAGAGCAAACCAGTGTTGTCAGTGTCTAAATTCAAGTATTTAGTTTAAATATTAATGGACTCACATCATCTATATGTCACACTTTATAAAACCTCTATATAAAAGGTTACAATTTAATAAAGGTGATCCTTTTTTTAAATGCCAGAGGCAAATCTGTTCCACGGAGTTCCTCTATCATTAGTGAGCCAGCTAGTCAGTCCTCAGCAGCCTACTGACTTGGTACCATGCTGCAGAGAGCATGACTTATCATAGATCCTAGAAATGTCAAAGATCATCTTACCATAGAATCCTAGAAATGTAAAACTCCGTCCAAAAGAAACTTCTCAATATTGGTTATTACTGTCTACAGTTAATTTACTTTGCATACAGATTTGAGGTTAGTAGCTATGTTCTGCCTCCACAGTTGGATATCATTCTGTGCCCTCATGGAGCAGTAGAGGCCACCACACACCTCATTAAGTATACAATTAATTTCCTAACAAAAGAAAAAGGTGAGATTAGAAATATGGGTGTACAGCAATTGTAGACAAGTACTTGACAAGTCTATCTAAAGTCGGCCAACAATGCCTTACACCTTGCTTTCACAGCTAGACTGATGAACGCTCAGGGAGGTACCATGTCACCAATGATTTCCAATAGTGAAATATTATCCACCATCAGTCAAAGGCATACTTCATTAATCTGCTGAGACAGACCAGTCCTTCCTTGGGTGGCAGTTTGCAGAAGTGAAATTTTTTTTTTTTGCCTGCAGCCCAGGCAGCAATCTTACAAAACACAAATGCTGCTATTTCGTTACAACTAGTGCACATGAATTGTGACGATTTTAACTTATTTCCATTGTGCATGTGAGTTATGCTTGTGAACAAAGGAAATTTCTCATAGTAAAGTTGATTGGATTAGCACTGTATGAGATAGATTTACTGCTGTAACTTCTGTGGAGGCGAGGCTGAGTTAATTAATTATATGTAAACTCTTTATTTTTATTAATGCTAGTGCAGCTGCAGGATGTATTCTTGAATAGCTGTTTTAGATTCTCCTCCCACATTTACTGGCTATAGTTTTTCAAAGATGATTTTAGTTGTATTTGCCACCCATACTTCTATTCTCTCCAGATCCTCTTGTATTTGTTTTTTCCATTCTTGTAGTTAATGTGGGGATAACCACTGGAATTCGCAATCTCTCTCAAACTGGAAACAACTTTTACTGTGGCCTCCACTGGGGGGGAAATAAAGTTTATTGTACACATTGGGGAAGGAAGTCTAATAAACATGCTAGTTTCCTTTTAACTATAGAAGGAATGTTTGTGTACCATCAAGTGGTCCTAGAAGCTGTTGGGAGAGATGTACAGCAGCTATTTAAAGCTGTGTATATGGGACCTTGTGCAGCTACTCAGCAGTTTCTGCAGAATCTTTGCCACATTTCCTTCTACTTCAGTGCACAGAGCAGCCATCATTAGTGCTGCAATAGAGTTCCAGAAGCAAGCCCAGGAACTGAGTGGGGTATTGCACGTAGGGCTGATACATTCCTCAGCTACATGGTATTGTGTATTATATAGACTTGTTTATAGCAGGCAGAGTATGTGCACAGACAGCTGACATTGAGATTACACAACGTTCATCAGCTTGCAGAAATCACTATTGGCACAAGAGTGTACAAAGGCTGCCATGCTGCAACAATTGCTACAATGCAGCAACACTCTTAGTTATTTCCATTGACATTTGTTTTCTGGGTAAGAGGATAGAGAAACTTCCTTCCTGTGGCACTGACTGCTGAGCATTTTCTAGGAGCTCAGAATGTTCATTTCTTTTTAAGTTTGTATAAAGCAAACTCCTTAAGAGAGAAAAAAAAATACCCTTGTTGTTCCCCCTGTGCCTTTGGGTTTAGAGGCAAGAGAAAGTTCTAGTGCATCTGTAATTTTTCAGTTTGTCTACCAAAGTCCATCAGCTTTAGCTTTGAATGTTTAGAAAATAAAAGTGCATTCTGCAGAACATTGTGCTAACTTATCACCTTTACTTGTGTCTTGGCAGACTATCACAAATTCTTCAGGTTGCCAAACTTTAAAAAAAACAAACAACCCCCCTCCCCCCAATGATTCTAATATACTAATTCCTTTTACGTATCAGTAACTAATAGAGATGTAAACCCTTCAATAAAAACAGAATTCCCACCCCAGTAGTGTGCGCATGTCTTGTAATAGCATCTGGGAGTTAATAGCTATTTGATGTCCTCTTATGATAGCACCTCTCCTTTCAAGAGGTCCTAAAGAACATCATAGGCTATATTTATACTACTGAAATGCAGCCATCTCTTTTGTGTGAAGAGTGATAACCTACTGCCCAGCTGTACTAGAACGTTGTGTAGAGGAGGGGCAGTTTGGCCCAGGACACTGGAGCAAAGTGCATGTACTTATGAAAGTGCCTTTGAAATCTTTTATGCTCAAACACGGTTTTCACTTTTCATGTAAAAGAGACCTGTATGCAAATTAATAATGCTGACTGGACATTGCTTTCTGCCAAGCATAACTTAGATTTCACTGGAAGAACTCAGTACTCTTTTCTTGCCCCTTTCACCTTAGTTTGGTGAGTGTGGTGTAAATTTTCAATGTTTGAGAGGGAAATGGTCATGTCCTAAACACTGACTTATAATGCTTAATGCATCTTTGTCTACTGTTATTTACTATCTACTATAATG